CCCCCCCCGTTCCTTCCCTCGGGCTGTGGGCTCCAGACCCGCCCGCCCTGCCGCCTCTCCTGGGAGCCAAGCACCTTCTCCAGTGGGACGTATGGCACAGAGTCCTCATCACCCTGTTCTATGGGCCTCCCGCCGAAAACGACGTTGACGGTGCTGGTGTAGACGAGCCTTGGGACCCGCTGGCGGACACACACTGCAGCAACAGGTGCACAGAGTCACACACACACACACACACACACACACACACACACACACACACGGCCAATGTGAGTGGGGAGTTGGCTGAGGAGGTGCCCGCAGGGACCTCCTTGGCCAAATCCACAGATCTCTACCCGGACTCCGACACACATCCTGGCTCCCTGGGGCCCTCCCAGGATGCACGGCTGCTCAAGAGGAAAGGGTCTCGAGCTCTAACTTGGGGTGTGGGTCAAGTCCCTGCCCTGTGGGTCTCTGGACGCCAGGCCGGCTCATTCCTCAGTCTCAGGGTGGCTGTGGCCCCTGAGCTACCTTGCCGGGGACACGTCAGAAGAAAGTCTCACTCAGTGGGAACACAGAAAAAGCACACTCTAGAATCAGAGAGAAAAATGAGATGTACGACCTGCCCAGAGAGCCCAGATGGCGGTCTACGATTTGGGTGCTTCGGCGACTTTTCTTACGCCCTGAGTGCACGCTCTGCTCCCCACGCCCAGACACGTGGGGGCCACGCTGACCCGCCCCCCACGGGCGACGGGGCAGGTCTGCAGGCAGGAAGGATGTGCCTGGGGTGGGCGGGGCTAGCAGAAGAGCATCCCACCTCTGCCCCCCTCCCTGTCCCCCAGAGCTAGGTCTGTGCACAATGGAGAGGGGCCAGAAATGCACGGCAGGCAGCACCCGCCCTGAGCGCCTACCATCGATCACCAGTTTGGTGCCGCCAACATTTACAGACTCAATCTGCTCTTTCTGCAGCTAAAAGAGAAGACGGGGGTGAGGGAGCCACTGAGCTGCCTCCCGCCCTGTCGCCGAGGCTGTGGGGCGGGGGGCTGCAGCGGCGGGGCTCCCCGTGGGGGCTGCAGGCTCCGGCCCAGCTCTGCCGCCATCCCCGCTGGGCGCCCGGGGGAGGCTCCATCTTGGCCTCGTCCTCAGCTCCATCATCTGGAAAGTGAGGGCCAACCTTCTTGGGTGCTCTACGGGATGAAACAAGCCCCATGGGGGGTCCCGGTACAATGCCCGGCACAGAAAAGGGGCTTGAGATGTGCCGGGTCATGTCCCCGCTCTGCAAGTCTCAGTGGCCTTATCCGTGGGACGGACACAGAAGCACCGTCCATGCCCCCCAGCCAGGGGGCTGCATGTGACCAATGGAAACCGCATTCTTTTCTGGCTGCAGTGACGTCTGTTTCATAGGTAATACGGTCACGAGGCTAAAGGTCATTCAGACAGTGGGAGGGCAGACGGTGAAGAGGGAGTCCCTGCCGCCCACCTTCTCAGCACCGGACATCCCGTGGGAGGCCACGTGGAAGACGCAGTCCACCCCTTCGAAGGCGCGGACCAAGGCTTCTTCGTCTCGGACATCAGCCTGAAACAGAGCAGAAAGGGTTGGGGGTGGGAGGTCCATGGCCTCGTCAGGTCCCGGGGCTGCCCCGCCTCGCCTGGGGCCAGGGAGGCTGGGGGCAGGGTTCATGCGATTCCACAGGGTGTCACCATCCTCATCAGCCCCGTTTGTCGAGCTAAGACACAGGAGCATGCTCGGTATTTCGTATGCACGATCTCATCGAGTCCCCATGAGACCCCGTGAGGCAGATACTTGAGTGTCCCCTTTCTGTGGATGAGGACAGGAGGGGCCTTTGGCCACGGTGGTCCAGCTGAGCAGTTCCTGGACTGCAGCTGGAGCTTAAACAGCCTGTGCTGTTCAACACCATCCGCCGATGTCACTGCAGATCCCAGACCCCAGCCTCCACCACCGGCCTGCCCCCAGCCACTCCCCAAGACCCTCATCACTGCACCTGGATGAACTCGGTCCCTGGGGACAGCTCCCACTGGGGTTTGCGGAGGTCAAGCAGGATGACAGACGTGCCACTCTTGGCCAGGCTGGAACCCAGGCTGAAGCCCAGGTAGCCACCTCCTCCGGTCACCAGAACCTTCTGCCTAGGGGCCTGCACAGATGTGGCTTCAGACTTCTGCGGCGCTGCTGTTGGTGGGGCTGTCATCAGCTCACTGGGTTTGGGTCCAGTCCCAGAGCCCTGTCTGAGCCCAGGCCCTACCCCTGGCCCAGGTAAAGGTGCAGCTCCTGGTCCCGGTACTGATCCAGCTCCTGGCCCAGGCTGCGGACTCGGCCCAGGTCCTGAAGTAGCACCAAGTCCGGACACGGACACAGCCCCAGGCCCCGGTCCAGGTTCTCGAACCACACCAGGTCCCGGCCCAGGCCCCGGAATAGTACCAGGCCTTAACCCAGGTCCAGACAGAGCAGCAGGCCCTGGCCCAGGTCCCGAAGCAGTCCCAGGTCCTGGTCCCGGTCCGGACTCAGACCCCAGGCCTGACGCCCCTCCCCAGGCCTGGCAGACAGGGCAGCTCCTCTCGCCCCGGCCTGCGTCTTTGCAGGGCTCTGGGGAGGAGCCCGCTGGGTTGGGCTTCATCCTCTACTGAGCCAGGTGGACCCAGGATCTGTCCACCTACAGGGAAAAACAGAAGAACATACTATTCCAGAGTTGTCTCAAGTCGCATAAATTACCAGAGCCCTGGGGGCTGAGAGGGACTCCTAGTGGAAACTAAAGACCCTCTGGGTTCCTAGTGAGCCCGTCCCTTTCAGAATCTCGAGAACCTCCACGGTGGCTGCTGCCATCCTCACCGAAGGCCAGAGACAAGGCAGCCAGGACTTGGGTGTTACAGCTGGGGAAACCGAGGCCCGATGTCATAGTGCACGGCGGAGATTTACACCGAGCATTTGTGATCCCTCTGCCAGCTCCTTGACACCCCAGTTCCCGTGTGGTACCAGAGGAAGACAGGGCGGATCACGTGCAGGGGGAGCTCGCTGGACTGGGGCGACGGGAGGGCTTCCTGGAGGAGGAGGGAAGAGTCCACGCGGGATCCATGAGGGCTCTGTGCCCTGGACACCAGCACACGCCTCCGCATGCTGCGCCCCTGGCCTGACAACCAGCGTCTGCTTCTCCTGGGTCTCCGAGGGCGGCCGGGTCGGTCTGTGGGCCTTGGGGGCCGGCACCGAGGACCTCGTCCTCCTCACTCCAGACTCGAAGCGAACTGGGCAGTCGGTCACTGTCACCGGCACCGTCGCCCTTCCCACCTCCTGCTGTACCTCAGGTGAGGCTGGATCAGGGGCCAGACACCACCATCGTCACTGATAACTGCAGCCACTGTGTGCTGCGGGCCTACTGTGTGCTAGGCGTGGTAGACAGAGAGGTAGGTAAGTCTCTGCCCCACGTGGCACATAGTGGCCCTAAAAAAGAACAGGTGCGACCGAGTGATGAGCTCCACGGCTGGTGCTGGTGGCGGTCATCGGGCAGGAGCCTGGCAGCTTAGGGCTGACCTTTCTGTCTCCTCTGCCACTGCCCCGCTCTCCAAAGCTCTGAGTGGGAGGTACGATCATGCCCCCACGAGGCCCGGCACTCACGTGTTGAAGAGTGGGGGTGAGGACACCCCAAGTCTGAGTCATCAAAGGGGATGAGTGTAATTCCCCCAGCGGGAAGGACAAGGGTGCAGCCCCGGCACAGGGCCCAGGGGACTCTGCGCTGGGGACAGCACTGTGGGACCAGGGCAGCCTTCCTGCCTCACAAGGATGCTCTCGGTGACAACGCTGGGGCGCTGCCTCAGGTCCCCATTTTGCTGGGTGCTCCCTTGGGCAAGGTCCTTCAAGCTTAAGGGCACCCCGGTATCCACGCGGTAAATGGATCCATATAACCCTGGCTGCCCCGCGGACCTCACAGGGTGGGCCACACCCGGGCAAACCGCTGAAATGCGCCCAGAGGGCCCTGCCGTCCAGTGTCCCCAGCGCCGGGGGCTGTGCGGGGCTTGGAGCCCACCTGCAGTCACAGCCGCGGACCAGAGTGAAGCGCTCGGGGCTGCTCTGCTCAGCGGGTGGCCGAGCGGATGGGCGCATTCGGTCCCCCGGGGGTGGGGAGGGGGCTGCCGTCCCCAGGGCCCAGAGACGGAGGCTCAGAGCGTTCGCGAACTGCCACGAGGTAAGTGGCTTAGCCTGGGTCCAGGTTGACAGTGACTCCAAGGTGGGGACTGGGAGGACGGAGGGCGCCCCGCAGCGCAGGGCGGGTCCGCCTCTGGTCCCGCGTGCCCGCTGCACCT